ATCAATTGTATGCAGAAGGCTCTCCGCTCCTTTAAAATTACTGCCATTGTCTGAGTATATTATAGATGGTCTTCCGCGACGAGAAATGAAATGAAACGTCTCAATGACTGGAAAAAAGCTTCAGTTGTCAAGGATGTTACTGACTCCAGATGAATGGCCCTATAGACCGCACATGTGTAAAGAACAATATAAGCTTTTCGACCATCTTTAAGGTAGAGGGGTCCTGCCAGATCGACACCCACTATCTCAAAAACATTTGCATCACGTACTCTATCTTTCGGCAAAATTCCTGGAGTTACATCACAACTTTTGGATTTAAATCTTTGACATTTAACACATTTTCTAATGCAGTTTCGTACTGTCTTACGAGTTTTGAGGATCCAATACTTTTCCCGCAAATGAGACATCACCATAGAAGTACCAGCATGCAGCAGCTCATTATGTGCATTCATTATTAGTAAGTTTTACTACTGCATGATCAGATGGCAAAATGACAGGAAACTTAAAGTCATCAGTATCGTCGCGATAAGAAATATTGGTTTTAGCTCTGATCAAACCATCACGATCAACTATAGGTCTGAGGTCTTTAATTTTATCATCGTTCACACTCTTAAATGATTCTCTTTGAACCAATAACATAAGAGTTATCTCAGCTCTTTCAATTTCCGAAACTGACAAAATTTTGGAGGTTTCGTTTGTAATTCTTCGTAATTTAAAGTAAAACCTAAGAATCCAACCTAACATGCGTACAATTTTCTTTATGGATGAAAAGTACCTGTAATACCAATTGTCAGGTTTAGAATCTTTGTTAAGAGTTGTCAATACTGATTTACGCCTTTCTGAATTTATGATCTCTTCGTCCGGCAAATCGGTGCCTCTTGACCATGACGATTCTGGTTCTAACAGCCATGATGGGCCCTCCCACCATTTCGACAGCAAAAAACTGTTTAACTGAACAGCCTCTAGAAGGGAGATCGGCGGCATTCAGCTCCGAAGGGATGTAATGCCAATCTTCTATTTTTGTAAGTGTTCTGATTTCTTGGACACGATTCCAAACGAAAGTTCCCCACCGTACGTCTCGCTGGATCCAGCACAAAGCGGTTGTTGAGTCAGTCCAGAAGAATGTTCTTAAATTTGGCATGTTCAAATCTGAAAAGACCATACGTCCCAAGCGTGCTCCGATTAAGCAGGATAATAATTCCAAACGAGGAATGGATATACTCTTTAAAGGCTTAACTCTAGTGCGTGCTTGCACAAAATTTAAATAAACCTTATTTTCGGTCTTCACTCTTAAGAAAATACAGGTAGCATAGGCATGCTTGCTGGCATCGCTGAAAACATGAAGACTTACATCTTCGTTAACCGATCTGTCAATATTAAGCCATCTAGGAATTTTGACATCAGACAGCAGTTTCATTTCCTTTACCCATTGTATGGACTTCTTTTCTAAATGTTCTGGCAATTTTTGATCCCAATTTAATCGTAATTTCCAACACTCTTGCAATATCACCTTTGGGAACAGGGTAACGGGAGAAAGGAAGCCTACTGGGTCAAATAACTTATGCGCGCAAGAAAGGAGTGTTCGTTTACTCGCGACAATCTCCTCTTTCTTTAGTGACTCAATTTTACAGGAAAGAGTATCATCCTTCAAATCCCAGTTTAACCCTAAAACGCAAACGAATGTATCTAATTTAGAGTTGGGAATTATTTCGGTTTCACAATTCGACTGCCATCCTCTAAGATTAAACTTTCCCAGTGACAATAACATTCTCGATTCTAGTACAAATCTATTCAATTCTTCAACATTCTTAAAACTAGTCAGGCAATTATCAACATAGAAGGACTCCTTCAAAATGTTGGCTGTAGCTGCAAACTGATCTGGGGCACGATTTAAATGATAGTTCAACGTAGCGGCTAACAAAAATGGACTACAGTTAAGCCCAAAAAAACACGCGACAATGTCTGTAAATTTTAGTATTCTCTTCTTCTGCACCTTTCCAAAAGAAACGTAAATAATCTCTATCCTTCTCTCTTATACCAATCTGCAAGAAGGCTTTCTCAATGTCTGAAATTACTGCAACAGGATATTTCCGAAAACGATTCAACAATGTTGGAATTATTTCTATTAGGTTGGGACCTTTCTCAAGACAGTCATTTAAGGAAAGTTCTCCTTTGGCGTGTGCCGAAGCATCAAAAACTGGCCTTACTCGCGTAGTTTCACTAGATTCTTTAAAAACCGGCCTATGAGGCAAATAGTGCTCTCTATCTACTTCGCCTTCATTTACCTCTTCAATAATTCGTTCCTTCAACCAAGTATCAAATACTTCCTGATAAACTTTAATTTGATTCGAATCTAATAATTTCCTTCGCGTATTAGTCAGGCGTTTTTTTTCTGCCAACGTTTTATTATTAGACAAGCGAGAGGGGTCCAGTACCCAAGGTAATGCAGTTTCATATCTCCCGTCTGAATCCAAATTCAAATTTTCCTCAAAATATTGCATGGTCTCCTCATGAATTTCAGCTTTCTTTTTAGACTCAACTGGGTCATTTATACCAATAACGTCTAACTTCCACAAGTTTTCTGCTGATCTTTCGTTTAGCAATAAAGAAACACATGCAAGAGAATCATTTATACCCGAAGATTCCTTCGCTGGAATTTTACCCATTAAAATCCATCCCAAACTTGTTTCCATCGCGACCGGACCACTTTGTAAACATTTAATATTTCCGGTGAATAATTTTCCAGCAATATCAGAACCTATCAACAATTTAATGTCACTTTCGTTTTCGAGAGCATTACCCTCTACATCTGACACTTGAATATTTAATTTACGAAGTTCTTTCAACCAAGGACCTTTAGGTATTTTCTTAACATCAGAACAGATAACAGATTCACTTAAACAATGCACACTACATACATATTTATTATCAAGGCTACTCAAATTAACTATATATTTAGAATGCAATTTTTCTTTTGTTTCTACACCTCCGAATAATTTATGAACTAATTTCACTTCACCAACACTGTTACATTTCAAAGAATCTGTAAATATCTTTCGTTAAATAACTTCTCTCGCAACCCGTATCTATAATCCCTCTGACTATCCTTTCCCTGTTGCCATTTTTTACCCTTACGATTAATGTTTGTAGTAACACATCGGAGCTCGCGGATCTGCTAGCCAAAACATTGACCTCATTTTTCGCCACAGGCTCTACTTGTTTAGTCTCTTTCAATTGAGAAGGAACTTGTTGACACATTACTGCCAAATGCCTTTTCTGGCAAATTAAACACTTAACCTTGGACTTACAGTTACGAGAAATATGGTTTTTCTTCAAGCATAATAGACATAAACCCTTCTTAAATATTAAATCTTTTTTATCCTGATATGTAAGCGTACTAGCTTTAAAACATTTTTCTGTTAAATGTGGCTTATCACAAAATAAACACGATTCCTCAACTTTCTTAATAGGAGCATTTTCTTTAAATTTGTCTCCTGTATACAAATCATTACAAGTAGGAATATTAGACTCATCATTAATGTAACTTTTAGATTTTCTACTTTTATCAAAAGAAAAACGCGCTAATTTAATTCTCTCTTCAGATATCACTTCATTTTTCAAAAACAGAAGAATAGATTCAAGATCGCTCTTACCTTGTTGTGACGAGCTCTCCCGTTCCCTCTCCCACACGCGTAAGATGTCAGGGGGCAGGCAAGATTCAACTAAACGGAAAAATAACACTAGCGTATTTATCTTCAGTCACACCGAGAGATTCCAGAGCACGCAGTTTTGTTTCTAAACTGTCGTACAACGATGATAGCGCAAAGTCCTTTTTGGTTGCATTATTATTTATCAACACAAGATTCAATAAATCCCGAACGTACACACTTGTATAAGAATATCTTCACGTCCAAAACGATTCTTTAAATGTTCGATGACTTTCGGATAATTTTCTTTAGTTGTCGGGAAACTCTGCACTATTTCCCGTGCTTTCGATTTGGCAGCAGTAGCCTGGATCAGATATACGAATTTCAAATGATCATCTAGCACTGGATCTTCGTGTATCTTACTAAAGGTATTCCAGAAATTCAACCATTGTCGTGGATCACCTGTAAATTCAATCAAATTTATTTTCGGAAGCTTCAAATTCGTTGCCGTTGTTCTTGAATCAACAGTTCTGGTTTCATTTACCGATGCATGAGAGTCAGCAAATTTTTCTCTAGTTTCACAGTGATTTGCTTCACTTTCATCCTGGCTGCTATTAATTTCTCCTTGTAAGTCTCACATGACTCAAATTCTTTAGTATATTCTTCTTGCGAGACTTCTTTCGATTTTGATAGGAGATCCAATATTTCTTCATCCAACTGTTGTAGTCGAATTCCTTTATCTTCCAGAATTTCCAGGGACGATAATAGAACATCACTGTTCAATTCTGACTCATTCAAATGTCCATGTAGGCTATTATATGCTTTCGTGAAGGCTGCACGCAGTGGTATTCTTCTTACTTTCAAGGCTTCCATTTCTGCTGTTAAACCATCAAAAGTGTCCTTTACCTAACTAATGCGTCCTGTCACGGACGCCACTTTTTATTGTGGTGATCCACGGTTTGAAAATGGTTTCTGAATCAGAAGAGATTCGTGCACTAACCTAGTGCTTCGCATTAGAGAGTAAAGAACATCTATGATATAAAAATATACTTTTATTTACACAGCGAAAACGCGCAGCAACATTATTAACGAAAGCTCATTCTCCTAATCAATTTCTTCTTTTTACACTCCGCTTGCGCATGCGCACTGACAATTACCAAAGGAGCTTGGCAGATACTGCCATCTGTTGGATAAAACTATTCTCTACACTCTGGGCGCACTTCTCCATATGGTGTGTAAAATCCATGTTTCAAAAAGGCATTTCGCATACATTTTATTAAATGCGGAAAGTCAGATATAAAATTTAACTTGCGCGTTTCATCATATGGATGATTTATCTGATATTCAGTTGTATTATCTGATTAGAGTACCCATACCACATTTCTTCCACATTACTTTATTCCACGTAGCACCATCACAAGTTATAAAATCTACACACAGATCTGCATTTTCTAACAAAATTGTTGCTTCTATTATCAAGTCAGCAAGCAAGGTTCCTTTAATATTGTTGCATGTGGCAAAAACTGCAACAATCTGCTTCCAGTCACCCACAAATGGTTGAAATAGGAATACTAATCCATGATTGCTTTGCTTTTTTTCATTTTGAAAATTTCCCAAGTCCACAAATCCTTCAATTTGACCATCTGAACTCACGTGCAAATTTTCAGACAACTTCATTTCATCTATCAATATACCACCATGGAGAAAATATGGTTCCATACTTTGAGTTTTCACTTTGATTGCCTGAAAAACAGAATCACAGAAACCAAATCCACTGCGGTAATTTTTAACATATCTTTGTAGGCAGTTCTTTCCAGGCACAATCAGAATTTTATTTTCACGGATATGTTCATAAAGTTTGGGTCCTTTCATTCTCATTATTATACATTCAATTAACCATTTTGGATCATAAATCATACCTTGAGTACTTTTACGTTTGGAGGCATTATTATAAGCATTTATAGCAAGTAATTGCTTCGGATTTGAGGCACAACAACAGAAGTGCCCATTTCATTTGTTTTTTGTTCCTTCAGTTTTAAGGATAACTCTGTAATTTTTTTTCTTAAAAAGCATATCAATTTGTTTTTTTTTCTATTATTGCTTAATTTTGATTTCAAATAATTATTTTTACAAATTTTTCTTTTCAGTAATCTATTTACATATTTACAATGCACACATGTTGCAGACTCATTAATCTTAATTGTACACTTTTTACTGTACATCTGATCATGCATAATATTTACATATTTATGATAGTGCTGATTATATTCCAAAATGGTTCCAACTCCACTGCAGACAGGTATTGCCTCAACATTATTACAGTAAAATTACCAGCTCGCTCACAGCATTAAAAGTAACAGATTGAGTTTTTTGGCCACACATGAAAACATCTGCAGTGAATTCATTATTTTTTTCAATGATACTGACTAATTTTCTGACCAAAGGGTACGGAAAATTTTTATTAGAAATCAGATTTAAGAATACTATGGATTGAGGACAGCTTTTGATTTTTAATTTTGACCAAAATGGAGAAGGTAACTGGACAGTTTCTACATCACTTATCGCTACAGTTCTTTTAACAGGGATGTTTGAAATACCAATATTTTCTTTATTCATACATATTTTTTTTGTCACAGTTGTTATATTATTTCTGACTTTCCTTTTCTGTGGTAGAGGTTTATTGAAATACTTTGGAGCATTCGGAAATATGCTAGGTATTGCTTCAGGTTTAAGCAGTGGTTTACCTCTTGGAATTTTTATTTCCTCACCGTTAACAATATGATGGTAAAATTTCTCAATAAAATGTTCTTCAAAATGCAGTTCACACACACTGTGGTGGATCGATAGTTCTGTATCTCCTCTGGAGATTCTTTTCGCCCTTTCTCGACGAAGTTTTTCGTCTTTGGGAACTTTAAAAAGTGATGCTTTTGTGGCATTTTGGTGACCAGATATACAGCCGGGAACAAAACACTTTCGTGAGAGTTTTGCCGACATATCAAATTACGTTTTAGCAGCTCACAACAAAAAAGAATACCCAAGATTATTGTGTAAAATTATTAGCTCACTTACAGCATTAAAAGTAGCAGTAATGATTCGATCTTTAATATATGTCGAATTCAGGAAGATAGTAAGTGACAGATGTCAACGATTGTAAACAAACGTCTACCTGATTTCGATGGGGCATGTGCGCTGACAGCGCCCTATATTATTTGTACGAAAAAGATTACCGTGTTTTAACACGGGGTGTATGGGGCGATAATCCCACTATATCTTCTAGTACACTATAACAGTAGTAAGGACTGTACTTTTATTATCATTTCAAAATCACTTCTAGCTTTTGCTGTTGCCTCTTGATTCTGTTGCGGTCGATAAAATTTGATGTATCCGTTTTGGTCAACATTCCCATATCCTCAAGTGCAGAACTGGTTGTTAGAGAGAACTCTTGCATACTCACTATTAGCCTCTTTTTTTGATTCGTTTTTGTGCAATCTTTGTTTATTTCCTGCACCCATGAGCCTCATGTACGATAATTCCTATATTTCATTCGTGTATTTATTTATTTTTGTATTACGTCACATGTCTGTAGCATGTCAGAATTGAGTGAAATTTGGTGTCGGATTTATGAAGTCCGACACCAAATTTCATTCAATTCTGTTCCATCAGTTCTAGAAATAATCGATTAAATGTGAGAATTTTCTTAATTTTGAACAGCAATGTATATCATTTCTAAGCAAGATAGGTCACATATCTGAAAACTCGATGTCGGAAATAGAGGAACTTTTCACCTTGTAGAGTTTCTTAGTTTGTAAATGCTAAGTTATTGTTGAACGTGAAGAATCTTAAGAACTGATAAGAGAATAATCGCTTGAGTTCGTGTGACAAGAAACAACAAGATGGAAGGGTAAATAACCCTTTATTATTCAAATAAGATTTAACAGAACTCCGTCTTGTAGTGTACAATAAAAGCCGACACTTGGGCTTGAACTTAAGAGGGTAAGTAGTTAACTAAAACTAATCTAAAGAGATATAGCCAAAGCTATCAAAGTTTTAATGGAGTTGGCCCCTTAAACACGAGATAACTGCGAAGCTATCAAGGGCCTAAGTACGGCCAAGCGTAATAACAACTTTGAGAGAGAGTAGCCAACAAGGCGGACGCGCGGTAATCAGAAACTCTGATTCTATCTAACTCCGCAAGTAGAACTTCGTGGTTAAATATCGCTCTTCCTCATTATGTATTCAGACGTGATTCTAAAACTACGTTCTTGCCGGAAGTAGTAAGTTGAAGTTAAGAATTTGACAGGAAAGAAGTTTAACTCAAAATTTAACTGTTAAAAAAATTAACATAATCCTTACAAACTATTGTGTAATTTTCAAGAATCTGTGGCCACTCCGTAACTCCACCTGATCAATACAAATCCATTTTTATAACACACTATTTTTTAACATATTTTTTAATAAATATTTTTTAATAAATTAAATAATTACACACATATTTTTTAATAAATTACTAACACCCAAAACTTATGAAACTTACCGATTGTTGCAAATTGTCAGTTCTCAGGGTTCGAAAGAAGATAAGATTTTTAATTTTTTTGTAATACGAAAGCATAGGATTTATTTTTTTCTATATACTGGGTTATCGTTTTACCCTGTTTAAATCATTTAACGATTTGAAAGCAATATGCTTTCTTCTTAATGATTTAAATCCCTGTTTTACTTTTCGTGACATAATTTGTAACACCTCTACATAATAATCTTCATAAACATTTCTATCATTAATTTAATGATGGAGATGCGTCTAATGCAATGAATTAAATGTTTCAGAGAGGAATAATCCTTCACAAGCTACCGGATAATGAGTTTATTTTTTAAATTTTATTAAAATTTCAAATAAATTATATAAATGGCATAATTAATAAATTTAATAATAATTTCGACGAATTTTTCATATGAATTATAAAAAATTATTTCTGTCTTTAAGTGCACATTTTTTCAATATGGTTAGTTCTCCACAACTTCTAAAAATGCTTTGAATGAGTTTCACCTAAACTCATGTTCTGTCTCACATACTTTAAAGTTCAGTGCATTAAAGAAGTAATTTTAACGACTGCTTGATTCGATGTACACAGACCCTTCGAAACTCCCTTCATATTTTGCTTACTGAGTGCGCCGTTTGTTCATGGGAATTGCGGGGGCTGTACTGCAGACGAAACATTTCATTTGACGTACCCGGATTCGAAAGCAAGTAAACAGTCTTAAATTGACTTGTGGGTTACGACCTCTTACGACTACACCCCTGAGAATTAAAAAAAAAAAAGTAGGAAAGAGGGATTTTATTTATTTATCTGAAGATAAACCTGGGATGGAGGGACATCTGCGTACAAGAGGTTTGCGTTATAGTGCTGTGTTACTTTGTTTTGCGAACGGTTTGAGGCTACAGTGTTGATACAGTAAATTCTCCGTAAGATGACAACCCCTAGGTTTCATACGAGTTTGATCGTCTATAGAAGTGGTCGCCTACAGCGACATTTCTCAATCATTGTCACTTATTTTTGTTTTCAGAAATGCTCTTTGCTTTCAAAAGTAAGGAAGGATATTCTTCTTAAGAAATGGCTGCCATAAAAGAATTCACTGTGTAGTCAAACCTCAGTATGTACATTATCTAAGGCTTACAGTGTCTTGTACCATATAAAACAGCAGTGACATAATCACAGATAGCTGATCCTTATTTCAAATAAAGAATTAATACTAGATATGGATAGTTCTAATATTACAGTAGCGATTCTTAAATTGGGGGCTCCAGGGGATCGCTGATCCCAGTTAAAAGTTGTCAAGCATCTTCGAATAATTTTTCAATAGAAAATTTTATTTGTTATTTAATTTCTTGATGAAAAACGTAAAACTTATGTTTCTTTATAAAAAATGTTATTAATTATTGTTATTAATTATAGAGGTACGTCAAAACGCGCATTACGTGAAAGAGGTTCACAAAATCTTTAAATTTGAGATCATAGCACTACAATGAATCTCTCTAAGAATAACCAATACTTCTTGGCATGTACGTAAACATTGTTACTGAATATGAGCTTTCTAAAGCGACGTGAAAACAAACCAGTTTCCCATAGAAAATCCTCGAGAAAAGCATTATTCTTTTCAGGCAGTTAGCCTTTGTATGCTTTGGGGTAATTATTTTAACAAATTTTAAAGGGTGATCACCTTTGAAAAAGAACAAAATAGACTGTAATGGTACGTGATTGTCTTCAGAGAAGATTTACTACACAGTCATACCTTCATAAAGCTTCAGCTTGGTTCCAGATAACTTAAAAGTCTGCTGAGGTGATCGCCTTAGTTATTCAGTACCATTTTTTATTTATATTCTAGAAAATACTGTACTTTTTCAAAGATGGTCATCGTAGAGAAGTAGTCGACATGAGAGGATTCATTGAATATTTCCTTTTCCTTAAGACAGTCTTGGTAAGATTGTCTTTGTCTTATATTTACGTATAACAGGGAACACAAGGCCCTTGTAATACTTCTTTGGCAATATGAAGCAACTCCAATGATGGAACACAGAAAAAAACTTTATTTAACACTCAAATGGCGAGATACACACACACACACACACACACACACAAAAAAAAAAAAAAAAAAAAAAAGAAAGAAAGAAAGAAAGAAAGAATTCTAACATTTTAAAAATAAATAACATTCTTCGTGCGAGAGTCGCACGTGGCACTCAAGTCTGGTTCCAAATATTGACATTCACAAATACCTTTGTTCATCTATTTAAATTATTTAAGCTACAAGATTTTAATAATATTTAAAGCTGTTACAATCTCTTCCCCAACGGAGAGACTTTTACCGAAGGGAAAAGTTCTGTAAAATTCGAAAGTTTATAAGCTCGGCTTGCTCGATTGCTTAAAGAGAAAAAGTTTATTATTATATATTTATTATTTCTCTTATAAATTCCAAATTTCAGGCCAAACATTTTAAGTTTTAAACAAATACTTTTAAATAGAAAGAAATGGAGAACGTTCAAATACATCAGTTGAGCATACATTAAATAATAAAATTAATTCTAAACGTGGTTACATACACTAAGAGTTATTATATTACTTAATTCTACTCAGAACATCTACGTTCTTGTGCAAAGATCCTTTGCGATGAATGACCTTAAAATTATAAGATTGTAATGAGAGTGCCCAGCGCATCAATCTAGAGTTACATTTGGCGTTGGATTGTAGCCAGACCAAAGGATTATGATCAGTTTGAATCAAGAATTCTTGCTGACCATCCAGATAAAAATGCAGTTTCTTGATAGCGTAGATGATAGCAGCGCACTCCTTTTCAGTAGTACAATAATTTTTTTCAAATTTAGGTAAATTTTTTGCTTACTATACAAGATAGGATGTTCATGTTTGTTCATTCATCTAATTGGCATAGTACTATACCCATGCCATTGTCTGAGGCATCGTTTTGTATAATAAACCTTTTATCAAAGTCGGGAGCATTACAGAATTGGTTTTTTGCATAGCAACTTCTTTTAAATTTTTAAAAAACTTTGTCACATACTTCAGACCATTGTATATTTCCTTTTTTGATTACCCCCTTCAAAGCGTCCGTGAGGAGTGAAGCAATTTCCGAAAATCTCGGTATGTACTGGCGATAAATACCCTACTAGTCCTAAGAAAATCACGTAACTTCTGTTTTGGTTTTAGGTTGTAGGAATACTCCTTTACAGCCAGGATCTTTACTTCAATCCGGGGTTCGTTGTCCTTTGTCCCACAACATGGCCTAGGTATCTCACTTGATCTCGTGCAAAATTTACATTTTGATGGTTTTAGTCGTAAGTTTGCTTTCTTGTAGTTCTCTCTAGAACAGAAGTTAAGGTTTTTAAGGTGCTCTTTCCCAGTTTTCTAGAGTAAATGGCAATGTCATCCAGGTATGGTACAGCGAATTCCTTCGCATCCAGCCAGGACTTTAGTCATAACTTTGCT